TTATTAATATTTTCATTATTATTATTATTATTACTATCATTATTATTATTACTATTGTTATTATTATTATTACTATTCTTGTTATTATTGTTATTATTATTGATAATAGTATTATTGTTATTATTGTTGTTATTATTATTATTATTATTATTATTATTATTATTGAGTTGTATTAATTAGAAATGTTTGGTTGATTGAAGATGTCTCACTGAATAAATATGCCTCATTAAATAAATATATCTTCTTAAATAAATTATTTTCTTATTAAATAATAATAGTTTATTATATACAGACATTTTATTAAATAAGATATTTTATTATTAAATAATGTTTATTATTTAAAGACGTTATATTAAATAAGAATGCTTTAATATTCAACAATATTTTATTAAAGAACGCTTTGTTATATTATTATTATTATTATTATTATTATTATTATTATTATTATTACTATTATTATTGCTATTATTAGGTTAAGTGTTTTATTATTTTCAGGTGTATATATACCTTTCGTAAGCCGCAACAGAAGGAGACAGAAAGTGCAGCAACTGCTGCAGCAGCAAATGTCAACTGCTGCAGCAGCAAATGTCTCCCTACACCCTCAACTCTCAGTGCTTTCTGTCTCCAGCTAGCTGTAGCTAGCTAGCTGTAGCTATCTGGCTAGCTAGCCGCAGCTAGTTGTAGATAGCATTAGCTAGCTGTGCAGCTAGCTGCCCAACCAAGTAGCTTCTCAGGCGCAGCTAGATATCTAGCTAGCTACAATCAAGGAGACAATAAAAGAGACAAAAGGAGACACTAAAAGAGACAAAAGGAGACAGTAAAGGAGACAATGAGAGACAGTGTGTGTGTCTGTGTCTGTGAGAGACAGCGCTGAATGCAATTTAATATTTTTATTAAGACCAAAAGAAAAAAAAAACAAACTGAAGGAGACAATAGAAGGAGAAACAGTCGGTATAAATACACCCCACAGCAGCAGCAGCAGCAGCAGCAGCAGCAGCAGCAACAGCAGCAGCAGCCTCCTAGCAAGGGCAGAAACCTGGCCCTTCCTGCTGAGGCTGCTACCATTGCTACCAAACAAACCGCAAAAAAATGAATATTGCTGCTGCTGCTGTTGGTGCTGCTGCTGTTGCTTCTGTTGCTGCTGTTGCAGTTGCTGCTGCTGCTTCTTCTGTCGCAGCTGCTGCTGTTGCTGCGGCGCATAAACAGAGACAGTCTCTATTGCTGTCTCCTTTTTAAGCTAAGCCAGGAGGGGGAGAGTCTCCGTCTGAAGTATTGCCTAGTTCCTGTCGTTTCATCTCTGTCCTGCATAACCCGCTGCTGCTGCTGCTGCTGTTGCTGCTGCTGCTGCTGTTGCTGCTGCTGTTGCCGCCCGCAGGTCGCTGTTGCTGCGGCGTCTGCTGCGGAGTGTTTTCTCGTGGTGTTTTAGCTGCTACTGCTGCTGTCGAACTGCTGCTGCTGCTGCTTCTGCTGCTGCTGCTGTTGCTGCTGCTGCTGCTGGTCGTTGTTGTTGTGGAAGCATCTCGGGGTGTCTGTGCAGGTGTTTGTTTTCTGCTGCGAGAAAGAGACAGCAAAGTCGGAGACAACGCGTTTGTCTTCTGATGTACTTCTTCAAGGCCATGCAGCCGAGACACCCGAGAGACGCGTTGCAGCAGCCACTGTCTCCTTGCAGAGTCCCTGGCGGAGCTGACGCTTGTTGCTGCTGCTGCTGCTGCTGCTGCAGCAGCAGCAACGCCCTCTAGGGGAAGTGGAGACACTTCTGCAGGGCGCGTAAATGAGAGACTCGCTCTACGGCTCCTCTCCTGTTGTTGTTGCTGTTGCTGCTGCTGCTGCTGTTGCTGGTTTCTGCTGCTGGAGTTTGCTGCTACGGCGGGAGCAGCACTGAAGGTGCGGTTGCTGCTGCTTCCGCTGCTGCTTCCGCTGCTGCTTGTAGTTGGCTGCAAGAAGGTGGAGTGGTGCTCTGCGACTTGCTGCAGAGTGCCTCCTGCTGCTGCTGCTGCTGCTGCTGCTGCTGCTGCAGCATTTGCATCCCGCTGCGCTGAGGAGACAGGCGGATAGTTGTGCAGAGGAAACGGAGACTTAAAACACTTTGGATTGGAGACAGTTAATTCTGCTAACTCTGCTGGGATCCGATCCCCGTAGGGAGGCGGCACAGGCCCCTTAATGCGAGGCCCGCCTGCTGCTGCTGCTGCTGCTGCTGCATTGGTTGCAGCAGCTGCAGAAGCAGCATCGTCCGAGACTTCCTGCTGCTGCAGCAGCTGCTGCTGCCGACGCAAATGCTCCTGTTCTTGCTGAAGCTGGTCCAGCTGCTGCTGCAGCTGCTGCAGCTGCCGCTGCTGTTTGTGTCTTGCTGCTGCTGCGTCGAGAGACTGAAGGGCGCCTAGCCGCCCGGGAAGCGAATCCCTGCGCAGCAGCAGCTGTTGCTGCTGCTGTTGCTGCTGCATCTGCTGCTGGGCTTGTTGCTGGTGGTGCTGCTGCTGCATCAACTGGTGCTGCTGCTGCAGCAGCTGCTGCTGCTGCAGATGCTCCTGCTGCTGCAGCTGCTGCTGCAACTGCAGCAGCTGCTGCCCCTGGAGTGACTGCGGCTGCGGCGGCTGCTGTGGGGCCCCCCTCGCTGAGAATGCGCTTTCAGTAGGGGACGGCAGCTGCGATGCTGCTGCTGCTGCTGCTGCTGCCCAGGAGGCCTCTTTGCTTCGTAGTTTGTCTGCTGGTGCTTCACCTTCCAGTCTCTCCTTGAGTTGCTGCTGCAGCCGCTGCAGCTGCAGCGCTCTGCTGCTGCCTCCTCCCTGGGGGTAAAGAGGAAAGGCAGAGCTCATAGACGAAGCAGATTCACTGTACGCTTCGCTGGGGATCCGCTGCTGCTGCTGCTGCTGCTGCTGCTGTTCTGCTGTTTCGGAGACACTTGGAGACACATCCGAAGGGGCGTGCAGCTGCAGCCGACGTGCCTTCTCAGACAGAGACAGGTTGAGAGTCTTCACAAACTTCAGATCTTGCTTCAGGGCCTCGTTTTGCTTCCGGTAAGACTGCAGCAGCAGCAGCAGCAGCAGCAGCAGAGGCGGCAGCAGCAGCATTGAGAACAACAGGATTATGGTGCGAGTGCCGCACGGTAGAAGCAGCAGCAGCTGCTGCATGCACAAACTTCTATTCATAAAGAAAGGACAGCAGCAGCAAAATCAGCTCAACTACCACACAAAGCAGCAGCAGCAGCAGAAACGGCAGCAGCAGCAGCGGACTTGTAAGAACTACCACACAATGCAGCAGCAGAAGCAGCAGCAGCAGCAGCAGCAGCAGCAGCAGCAGCAACGGCAGCAGCAGCAGCGGACTTGTAAGGCTTTAAGGTCTTGTTCATGCGCCTCTGTTGCTGCTTGCTGCTTCTGCCTCGCAGCAATAAGACTTTCTCTAGCCACCAGCAGCTGATCGCGGGCAAAAGACAAATCCTCCTCCAGGTCTTTTATCTTCACCTGCAGCAGCAGCAGCAGCAGCAGCAGCAGCAAATATATATATTTCCTCTCAAGGAATTCCCTGCCGCTTTGGTTCGACCCTCGGTGAATAATACAAAGGAAGCAAACAGCAAGGTGCAGCAGCAGCAGCAGCAGAAGAAGAAGGAGCGAACGAAGCACCAGTAGCAGCAGTACGAGCACCAGCGACAGCATCAGCAACAGCAACAACAGCAGCAACAACATTGTAACCGGCAGCGGCAGAACGAACAGGCTCAGCATTATCCTTACTACTATGGTATGCGAAGAAGCCAGCAGCAAAAGCAGCAGCAGCAGCAGCCACAGCAGCAACAGCAGCAGCAACAGCAGCAGCAGCAACAGCAACAACAGCAACAGCAGCAGCAACAGCAGCAGCAACAGCAGCAGCAGGGTGTGCTTACTTGGAGCTGCTCCTTCTCAGAGAGGTATTTGTCTTTTTCTTCTTGTCTCGCCTTTTGTGTTTCTTCTTGAAGCTTTACGATTGCCTCCAGCGATTCCTGCTGCTGCTGCAGCCGCATCTCAGCAGCAGTGCAGCTTGTCGCCAGGTCCGAGGCCTTCTTTGTCTGCAACAACAGCAGCAGCAGCAACAGCAGCAGCAACAGCAGCAGCAGCAACAGCAGAGACAATACCACACGGAACAGACTTCGGGTATGCGAGACACACCCTAGGAGTAGCAGCAGCAACAGAAACAGCAGCAGCAACAGCAGCAGACTGAGCAGCTGCTGCTGCATGGGGGGTCCTCTTCATTTAAGCTGAGGGGCAGCTGTACCTGCTCTTGTAGCTGCTCCTGCAGCTCTTGGATTTGCTGCTGCTGCTGCTTCTGGCTCTCCTGCTGCTCCTTCAGCTGCTTCTCTAGGCCTTCGCACTTCTGCAGCAGCAGCAGCAGCAACCGCAGCAGAAAAATACGCGGTGTACTACCAGGTAAGAGTTGAACCTTTGCTGCTGCAGTGAGCCGCCAACAGCAGCGGCATGCAGTAACATAAGGCATGCAGCAGCATCAGCAGCAGCAACATGCAGCAGCAGCAGGGACAGCAGCAGCAGCAGCAGCAGCAGCAGCAGCAGCAGCAGGAGCAGCAGGGGCTAACCTCTTGTTCTTTGGTGAGGTCGCTCTTCACCTGCTGCAGTTCTCGCTGAGCTGCCAGCAGCTGCTGCTGCTGCGCAAACACAAAGTCGCCTACAAACAAACAAACAGCAGCAGCAGCAGCAGCAGCAAATACCCTTAGGATATGCGTCAAGCAGCGCTGCGAGAGCAGCAGCCGTGAGTGCAGCATCTGCAGCAGAAGCGAGATACCCAGCAGCAGCAGTAGCAACAGCAGCAGCAAGAGCAGCAGGAAACTCACTGTCTGGCTGCCGCGCAGGCATGCCTCGTGCTGCAGCAGCAGCAGCAAATGCAGCAGCAGCATAGATGGGGGGGGCCCCCGGCGGCCAAGGAGCGAAGGGGAAGCCAGCAGCAGCAGCATAAGGAAAGACAGGAAGACCTTGAACTGCCTTCGCCTCGCTTGGGGGCCTGCAAACCCTAAACCCTAAACCCTAAACCCTAAACCCTAAACCCTAAACCCTAAACCCTAAGATCTAAAACCATAGGCTATAACCCTAAATTCTGAGCTGTAAACCCTAAACCCTAAACCCTAACCTCCAAGCCCTAATCACTACGCCCTAACCTCAAAACCCTAAACCCTAAACCCTAAACCCTAAACCCTAAACCCTATCAATCGGGGCTTCATCAGCCCCTGAATTTGGGGTTTAGGCCAGCGAAAGAAAGAAACAAACAGCCGTGCACCGGGGTTTGCAGTTGCATTAGGGTTTAGGGTTTAGGGTTTAGGGTTTATTAGGTTGAACTCACTTTGCTGCAGCGCCGCGAGCTGCGGCTGTCCACACATCCCCCCCGCCGCTAGCAGCAGGAGCAGAAGCAGGAGCAGCAGCAGCAGCAGCTGCTGCTGCTGCTGCTGTTGCTGCTGCTGCTTCTGTTGCTGGTGGTGCTGCTGCAGTTGTCCCCTTGCGATGTTTGCGCTTTGAATGCAATTTTGTCTGTCTCCTCCTGAGCTGTACGGGCACCTCTTCGTGCTGCTGGGGTTCTGCTGCTGCTGCTGCTGCTGCTGCTTGGAGACCCCGGTGAGGGGCACTTGGCTTGCGTTCGCGGTGCTGCTGCAGCAGCTGCTGCTGCAACAACTGCTGCTGCAGCAACTGCTGTTGCGCCTGCATCTCAAAGGCCCTTTGTCTCTCAGCCACAACTCCTCTCCAACCCACTGGCTGCTGCTGCTGCTGCTGCTGCTGCTGCTGCCTGTTGCGCCATGGAGACGCTGGCCCGCGAAAGGGTGCATCGGCGCTGCCATCCCTGCTGCTGCTGCTGCTCCTGCTGCTGCTCCTGCTGCTGCTGCTTCTGCTGCTGCTCCTGCTGCTGCTCCTGCTGCTGCTGCTGCTGTTGTTGTGCAGCTGAGAGAAGAGCCCCTGCTGCTGCTGCATGCGGTCCGGTGCCCCTGCAGCATTTCTCCTCATTGCTGCCTGCTGCAGCAGCTTCTGCTGCGCTGCAACAGCAGCGGCAAACGATGAGTCATGGTGTCTCTGTTGCGGCGCTCGCATGCCGGCTGAGAAGGACTTGCTGCGGAGCATAGCTGCTCGCTGCTGCTGCTGCTGCTGCTGCTGCTGCAGATAGGGAGAAAATGCTTCTCTTGCTGTTGCTGGAGCAGCATGAAATGAAGGGCTTTCAGGTTCTGAGGAGGAACTTGAGTCCTGCTGCATGTTTGCTGCTGCTGCTGCTGCTGCTGCGCCCCATCCGTAAGCAGCAGTCATGCGTCTGCTGCTGCTGCTGCTGCTGTCTTGGGCCTCACTGCTGCGGTGAGTCGCCATCGAAGCCCGTAAAACAGTTCCAGATCTCTGCTGCTGCTGCTGCTGCTGCTGCTGCTGGAGCATCTGTTGGCGGTGGATAAATCGCTGCTGTGGAAGTGTCTTCTCGGGACTAGCAGCAGCAGCAGCAGCAGTTGCTGCTGCTGCTGCTGCTGCTGCTGCTGATGCAGCATGAGTCTCTGCTCTGGCGCGAGCGCTGGAGGGGCTGTCGTAGAGAAGAGAAGGAGACACCGGGCCCCCATCTGTCTCCTCCTGCTGCGAGGAGACAGACAGTTGAGACGGCCTCAGAGCCGTCATGTTTCTAAACCCTAAACCCTAAACCCTAAACCCTGCGGCTGGTCTCCACGGCGCTGGGGGCGCTTGGGCGTTGTGTATGAGGGTTTGCTGCAGCAGCTTAAGTCAACAAAATATAATAAATAAATTTAAATAATAATAAATAATTAAAACAATAAAAGCGATAAAATTATTTAAACAACTAAATCAGAAAACCCCTATGTCTGCTGCAGCGGCCCGGTGGTCTCAGGGCCCCAGCTGTTTTGCTGCTGCAGCGCAGCAGCAAATAGAAGTGTTTATGCTGCTATTAACAGCAGAAAAAAGTATTTAAATATCATTTATTATTTATTTATTTAATTATTTATTTATTCTTCACCTTATTTCATACAATATTCCTATTCTACCTGCTGCTGCAGACGTTGCTGCAGACACTGCTGCTGCTGCTGTTGTTGCTGCTGCTGGTCTGCAGCAGCAACAGCAGCAGCAGCAGCAACAGGAGCAGCAGCAGGACCTTATTTGGCTTTACATTTGTTAGCAATTATCTCTTCTTTTTTTTAGTTGCCTAGAAGCTAAGCTGCTGCGGCAAAGGCAAAGGGATATACAGACAGAGCTGTCTGTACACCGCAATTCAGAGTGTGCTGCTGCAGCTGTCTCTTTTTTTGTCTCTCTCTCTCTTCTGCTGTCTCTTCTTTTTCTCTTCTTCTTCTTTATCTTCTTCTGTCTCCTTGCTGTCTCCTCTTCTGTCTCCTTTGTCCCCTCTATTATTATTATTATTATTATTATTATCATTATTATATTATTATTATTATTTTATTGTAATTGTTATTATTCTATTATTATTACTACACCATAATAATAATAATAATAATAATAATAATTATTATTATTATTATAAAGCCCCAACTATCGATCCCTTAGAATGCATGCATGCGTTTGTCTAACAAACGCTAGAGACAGCCACTATAGAACACCTTTCTTACCCTTCATAAATAAATAGATAAATAAATAAATAAATAAATATATATATATATACATATGTATATATATTAGTTATTTTTAATTGTATATATAAAAGATAAAATAATGTGCAGTGTCTCCTATATATGAACGGGCCCAACGGCGCCTGTCTCCTTTTGGGGCTTTATATATCCCCCTGTGAATTCTCTTGCTGCTGCTGTTGCTGCTGCTGTTGCTGCTGCTGCTGCTGTTAGTGCTGCTGCTGCTGTTAGTGCTGCTGCTGCTGCTCTTATTGTTGCTACTACAAAGCAAATCAAAGACGAAGTATAAAGTAATCAGCAAAGAGACAACTTGCTGCTGTCTGTCTCCCCTAACAAACTAAAACTAAAAAGCCCCAAGCCTTCCATGCATGCACTTCCTGCTGCTGTCAGAGACACCTGCAGGTGAGCAGCAGCTGCTGCAGCAGCAGCTGCAGCAGCAGCAGCTGCAGCAGCATCTCCTCTATCAACCTAACCAATCACATGCAGATAATTAATTTGCTTAGGGCCCCGAACAAACAAAACCCCTAAAAAAGATACCCTTAGGGGCCCCTCAGCAGAAAAGGGGGCCCCTGAGTTAGCAGCAGAAGGGGCCCCTCAGCTAGCAGCAATAAGGGTATATTATGCGTTTGTAGGAGTTGAAGGGCCCCCGTACAAGGCCTTCAATCAAACAGAAGCTTCACAATCAAATGCCTGTCTCCTGTCTCCTTTCTCCTGTCTCCTGTCTCCTTTCTCCTGTCTCCTTTCTCCTGTCTCCCCCATAATTTTACTCAGGGGCCCCCCACTCAAAGCCCCTTTAGGGCCCTCAAGGGGCCCCCTAAGAGACAGCGAAGAGGCCCCTGAAAGGCCCCTAAGAGACACTTTTAGGGGTCCCTTGGGGGCCCTTATAATGCCCCTAAGAGACAGCAAAGGGGCCCCCTTTGGGGCTCCCTAGAAGCTCCGAGGAGACACTTCTAGGGGCCCCTGGGGGCCCCCTAAAAGGCCCCTAGGAGATGATATTTAAGGGTCCCCTTTGGGGCCCCTTTAAGGCCCCTAGGAGACAATAAGAGGGGCCCCTTGGTGGTATCTAAGAGTGAGGAAGAGGGGCCCCCTGGGGGCCCCCAGGAGACAATAGGATGAGCCGTTCTTTAAAAACGCGTGGCCTATGGGTACTCAAGTTAAAAGCAGCAAGAAGGACATCAATTAGCAGAGGGGCCCCTAAGTTAGCAGCATAAGGGGCCCCTGAGCTAGCAGCAGAGGGGGCCCCTCAGCTAGCAGCAATAAGGGTTTATTATGCGTTTGTAGAAGTAGAAGGGGTCTCTGTACAGCACTAAGGGGCCCCCAGCTAGAAGAGGAAGGGGCCCCCTATAACAGCAAAAAAAAAAACTTTTTATTAGGAATAAGACAGCTCTTAGGGGCCCCTAAATAAGAGCTTAGAGCCCTAAAAAGAGTAAAATGAAAAGGCATTTGAAGACGAAAACAAAAGAAAAAAGGAGACACAAGGAGACCCTAGACACCCTAACATGCAGTGGCTCCGCATACACCAGGGGCCCCTCAGCAACGGGGGCCCTTTGCTTATTTTATTAAGGGTAGCGAGTAAGAGCAGCACCAAACTCTGCTGCTGTGTCAGCAGCAGCAGCAGCAACAACAACAGCGGGTGGAGGTGTTGCTGCTGTTCTATTGTGCTGTGCTTCTGCTGCTGCATATGTTGCAGGTGTTTAGTTTACGGGGCTGTCTCCTGCTGCTGCTCCTGCTGCTGCTCCTGCTGCTGCTCCTGCTGCAGTTGATATAGACTGCTGCAGCAAGAACTGGAATATTTGCCTGCGTGGTACTGCTACTGCTGCTGCTGCTGCTGCTGCAACTGCTGCTGCTGCAACTGCTGCTGCTGCAACTGCTGCTGCTGCAACTGCTGCTGCTGCTGCTGCTGCATTTAGTATAGGCTGCTGCAGCAAGCATTAGATTTTTTTGCTTGTCTATAGAATTGGTAGGAAGTATTTGATAGGTCTTCGCTGCGCTGCATTAACTCTTCTAGCTTCTCTCCGCGCTGCAGCAACTCGTCTATATTTTTCAGCATTACTCCTTTCACCTGCATGTACACCCCAAACAGACACACAAAGACACAGCTAATAGAGACAGCTAATAGACACAGCTAATAGAAAAAATAAACACAAGGAGACAGCTAATAGAAGAACAAATAGACACAAGGAGACAGCTAATAGAAGAAAGAGAGACACGGAGACAGCTAATAGCAGGCAGCAGAGAGGAGACAGGTAATTGAAGAAAGAGAGACAAGGAGACAGCAAAATGAACAAGAGAGAGACAGAAGATACACCAGCAGAGACAAGGAGACAGGAGACAAACAAACAAAGAAAATGAGACAGTAAAACAAAAAGCGTTGGGCTAAGCCGCAGACAGCAAACAAAACAAACATTAAAAAAAGCAGCAGCATCACCAATAACAGCAGCAGCAGCAGCAGCAGCAGCAGCTTCAACAGCAACATCAGCAACAGCATCAGCAGCAGCATCAGCAGCATCAACAGCAGCAGCAGCAACATCAGCAACAGCATCAGCAGCATCAACAGCAGCAGCAGCAACATCAGCAACAGCATCAGCAGCATCAACAACAACATCAGTAGCAGCATGAACAGCATGAGCAGCATCATCAGCAGCATCAACAGCATCAACAGCAGCAGCAGCAACAGCATCAGCAGCAACAGCAGCAGCAGCATGAACAGCAGCAGCAGCGGCAGCAGCAGCAGCAGCAGCACCTCATCAAGATCTTTCTGGACTTTGAGCAGTTTGTCTGCTTCAAGGGGGTTTTTATACTTTCGCAGTAAGTCAAAGCCTTCAGGAAACATGTCTGTCCCCTTCGGCTCTTCAGTTAGCTGCTCCCACTTGCCTGTGCACTTCTAAAAAGATAAAAGGAGACAGCAAAGGAGACAGACAGCAAAGGAGACAGACAGCAAAGGAGACAGACAGCAAAGGAGACACATTAAATGTAAAGACAAACATATATATACAAAATAAAGAAACCGCATACTCTTCATTTAAAATACATATTTTCCGTCTTGCTATGTATATACATATATATATATATATATACATATGTATATATATATATATATGTATATATATATATATGTATATATGTATATATGTATATATATATGTATATATATATATATATACATATATGCATATCTATATATCTGTTTCTATATATCTATATCGATATATATCTATATGTATATATATATATATACATACATCTATATATATGCACGAGCATATACATAAACATATACATATATATATATATATACATATGCATATACATATACATATAATATATATATATATATATATAGATGTACATACATATATTTATATATATATATATATATATACTAATCTATATACTTATATATATACTTATATATATTATATTTATATATAGTCTAGTTTTGCTAAGAAGTAAGTGCATATACAGCAAGAATAGCTGCACCTCTTGAAAGAGTTTAATTGCTTCATTGATAAGCCCAAATGCAACTCTCATAGGATAAGAAGAAGAAGATAAAACAGCTGCAGAGACACCCGAAGGATGACTGTATATATAACACTCTCCTATCCCTTCAGCAAACTCTACTGCTTGTCGCCGTCCGACAGGGGTGCGAGCTGCTATTAACCTGCAAATAAATAAATAAACAAAGACATTTATTTATTTTATATTTATATGAATGTAAATAAGTATATATAACTGTAAACAAATGTATATATGTATAAATATATATAAATATATATATAAATATATATATAAATATATATAAGTATATATATATATATCTGTATATTAATGCAGCTATTATTTATTTATTTGTTTGTTTATTTAAGTCAATAAATATATAAACAAATAAATAAAGAAATATATTTATTTTGTTTTTTAATGGATTTATACAGAAATATTATTAAAGATAAATAAACAAATAAATAAATAAATAAATATAAATTAATGAAGATAAATACATAACAAACCTCAAAAGAATAAATAAAT